CCGCTGTTCCGGAAATTCGTACTGCATAGGAACAGCCTGTGATCGGCACACATCTGAAGTAACCGGCCTCCTTTGTCCGTACGTCTAGTGTCCGAACCAAGACGACCACCCAATCGAGCCTCAGCAGCGCTTATCTGGGCGTTCATATCACCAGCAACCACAACGATATTTGAGCTTTTAGCCTGCTGTAGAGGGGCACGTAGAGCATCATAGAAACTGTCCTTGGCAGATTCAGGGCTACAGTCAGTTGGGGCGTATGCGGACACAATACACAAGGTGCGACGAACCTCACTTTCTCTAGATTCTCTGACAGATGTTGCCAAACGAACCGCACAGAGGCGATTGTCTACGGGTATCCAATCAAGCAGAGACGCTTCCGCTCGTTTGCTCAATACAATATCCACCCCCAGCATATCCAACTGCAGCGGCCTCTGCATCACCAAAGGTGCGCAGTCGGAACCTGGAAGAAAGCGAGGGGGCAGTCAGTTCGATCACAGTACTTGCGTCCTGCAGACAACGTGCATCAATAGAGATGGAATCCAGTGTACGCGCAAGAGCCACCTGTTGATCTGCTTGCTTGAGTGTGCGAACATTGAAGGTGGCTTAGAGACAGGCTTTCGGGGTTGGGACACAGACTTCGAAGTGTTTAGGGTTGTAACTGAACTCGGACGTGCAGAAGCTGCAGCTGAGTGTGATGCAGGGCGAGCACCACGGCCAGTCCTAGAGCTGGAACCTGCGGAGAAAGTATTCGAATTTGGGTGAGGGAGGGTGAAAGTGTAGGAAAGTGTAGGAATGGAGGCGTAAGCAGTAGCCTGTTTTCGCTTACTCACCCTGCTGTATGCAGCAAGTAAGGCGACCCGGCTGATGGCACCACGCGACGGCCGATGTGGCATGAGAATATTGTTAGTTGTGTATGTCATGATTGTACGAGGGCTGGGATACTGCCAGGGCGCCCACACCTAGACAGGAGGACGATTAATGTCATCAACCAAAGCCTTTGGGTCAAAAGCCTAACCGCAAGGCAGCGGTGTTCGGCTGGAGATGCAAGTACATTACCATTTTTTTACGGAACACGTCGCCATACGTGTTCCAACCCCCAACCTGGAAGGCCAGGAGACTGTGTTCGTCGGGCCTCTACCAATGGACCAACCTGGTATGAGAGACTCTGTGAGCATCGTGCGGACACTCCCCAGTATAATCGCCGAGGTACACAAGCCGCCACACCACGGTAAGGTCCAGTCTCTTCGTGACTTGACATCTACCTCGCTGTGTCTACGGAAAGCCTATACAATTTACGTCCTTCATATGACGCAGTTTATTTTAACACTGATAAACCCTCACGTCGAGACCGGTTGTCACTCAGTGCCTGTAGAATTTGGGAAACCGAATAGCTCTGATTTCCACATTACAATGTAGTTGAGTTTGCTCTCGATGGCGAAATTACAGGTTGAATAACCTGAAGTTCACATAAGAAGTGAAACCCTATTGGTTCTGGGATTATCAGTCGGAGCTTAGACAATTGATTACTTTATGTACTGCAATTGTTCGACAATTTCCTATTAAAAGTTTGCGTTATCTGACAGCTTCCTAAAAACGGCCTTCTCTTTCACTAGAATCATTCACTCAGGTGGATGGAAAAGACGAGTGGATTAAGGTTATCTAACCTTTGTCAAAAAGCAACAAAATGTGAGTCTCGTATACTGGCAAGATAAATGATTTCATCATCACCTGACGGAATAGCGATTCTGGCACAGGAACGCCTACAAAGTATCGTTGGTGGGATAGTCAGCTATTCTTTCAGTCTTCCGGCTGAGTTTCTTTGGTTGAACTGACGGGCATTTCAGTCGCTGAGTAAGATGCCTGGAACATCACCAACGAACAATTTCTGCCTAAACGAATTGTCATTTTCAGAGGAGTCATATTCATCCCAAAGGTTCTTGGGAGGGATATTAAAGTCATGCATTTGGTCTGCAGAGAAAATGTTGTATTTATTTAGTTGCGGCGAAATATTTTAGCGACCCACCATGGACACATGAACAACAACATGAAGAGGAAATCTTACCTCTTTGGAAAATCCGTTTCTACATGCGCAACACTGGTGCTTCATCTCCATACGAACCCAGCGGGCAAGCCCGATCAGTTTAACTGACTGGCTGGCCGAGGGATATTGAAAATGATTCAAGCCGATAAAACACAGCGTACTAAGAATGAAGGGTTCAAGAGCTGTCTGGGTGAGCGTGAAAAGGATAAGCCTAAGAGTCCCACTGAATCTGACAGTCGAACTTCAGAGTTATTGGTAAAAGAAAATGGCTGGTGGGGGGATTTACCAATGTTGTTGCTAGCCTGTTTATGAACCAGACCCTGTTATTGTGAGTGAATTGATGGCATGAATCTCTCTTCATTCACTAGGAAATCGGAATACGACTAACAATGCATTTTTTCCACGCGAACCACGCGATGAAAGGATATACTCACAAGAAAATATGTAAATCTCAGAAGAGGCTACGACGATGTCGAGGGCATAGATGAAGAGTCGGTCATTTTCATAGACGCTAAATTCAAGGGGGGATTACTCCATTAAATTGTGACGGGTAGATTAGGGTCACGGAAGTTAGGCAAACTGTGACCAGATGTTTTGTTTAGTGTTGAAAATGTCGTTTAGCTGTAACACCTTTTCGGTGCCAAGCTGCCATGCCACCCGAAGGAGGCATGAGAGCTGGGATACTGCCAGGTTGCCCAAGCCCAGACAGGGAAATCGAGATACAGAGATCGGGTTCAAACCACGAACCTTCCGGTCAGTAAATTCGCACCCCGTCTGCTAAGCCATCTCGCCATGTCAGTGTTACTCGCCAAAAGAACCTCTAAAAGATGCAAGATAGGCTAGGAAGCCCACTCCGGAAGACGCACGATAACTCCACATGATAATAAGTCGAGCGAAGCGTAGGAAAATGAACATCACTGAATCTAAGTGCAAGAATTTGTGCCAGATGCCTGGTACTGATGGGAGTCGTCATCTATAAATGACTTGAAACATCACGCTGGTGCTCAGTCACCTGTTGATTTATCCGATCGCATATCCTTCAGTCAATCAGTCAATTTATCAGCTATAAACAGTGTGCCATAAGCACATTGGTTGTCGCTATTTCGGTTTCGATCACCGGAAAACGGGAAAGTGGAATACAAAGCTAAGCCTTGGAGGTGTGCTTAGTTCGTTTGGAAATCGGATAGGTATGCATTGAAGGCGATAGCTTTGATGTACGAGCGCCAATGACTGCGCGATTGGGCCATTTCCTCCAATGTCATTAACCACTGGTTATTTGAGTCCCGGGGTCACCAACCAGGAAGGCGGCAGTTGCCCATCCGACTTAGTTTACTGGTTAGTGGTTTCGTACTTGGTTGCCAGGTCATACAATCTCCAACTCTCTATCACTCCCACTCAGCACAGGGATGGGCGAAAAGAGTTCTGCGAGGCAGATGACCTTCTGGCATGCGGAGTACATGACACAACCAGCGCAACCTACGGAGCATATCCTTGTCAACGCTAGACGTTCACACGATACCCGAATATGTGCTTGAGCACATCGACTTATTTGACGTAAACGAGTTTTCCTCTACTGAAACCTCAATGCACCAGTTTTGTTGGTGTTCGACAACAAATGCCTCACCGTCCGACTGACTTCATGACGTCTAAGTTGTCGTTAGGATCTGTTTTAAACTGGGTTATTAATCGAGACCCACTGGAATTTTCCATGTCAAAGTGCGCAAAGCCTCTTAGAGTCTGTGTGGCCGGAAGTTTTAGACGGTTCTCATATCAGCGCTTACTTATCATTCATCATCAAACAGATTTCGGTGAAGTAAAACTAAGAAAGCAACCATCTATCGGGATCGAGGAGTCCCAAAACCCATTCTAGGTCCTAAAATTTAAAAATTTTCTACGTGGATTGTTTCACGATGTTTTGAAACACTACCTAGCGGATTTTTCGTTATAGCGTCAGGCTGACTTGCTAATAAACTGTTGTGTGTCGCAAATTTCAGAAAACCGCGCGAATTCGGTTGCGGTAGAGTGATGGGCCTGGCAATATGACTTCAAGGACAGGCATGAGGGGCAGCCGAGCTACTCCCACGCACTCTTCCTTATTACGAGCGATGAACCACAAGAGTAGCCACGCGCTGAAGGTTCCTGAATCATGGACGACCTTCGAATAGTATTCAGACACATCCAGGTAGTCAGGTTCGACCAGTGCGACCGCACAACATCCTCCATGCTTGTCAGTCCCACTCGCTCCTCGCTCTCATGTGAGTGCTTCTTCCGTCCCACACTTGCGGAGAATGCGTCTGAATTTTACTCTTGTGCTCAATTTCTCATGATGAGGAATAATCAATGGACAGTAAGTGGAAGTAGCCTGTCTGCCCTTCATGTTTGTTCTTCATGTCATAATTCCTATAGTGGAAATTTAAATGGTTTAGATAGAATAATTATTATACATTTTATGATGAACAAGATTCTCAATAGTGTCGATTTGTATGGCAGAATAATTGTGTATCAGTTGTCGACCTAGCAGCGGGGAACGTTTTTGGAGTTCATCGTGGGTATCATCTATAATATCTGATACTGGTATACAGAAGAATAAACAGATGTCGAAATAGCGCAACTGGCTTTGAGTAAAAAAGTAACATAATGGGAATGAAAGACAGAGCTGCGTTGTTAGTCTTATTGACCCTATGGGAACGAAACAAGGTGTGGTATTCAGATCCGAAGAACCAGGTACGGTCCCGATCTTGTTAGCCTGTACACTAGGGAAAAACGCGGTAAGGAATAGTTTAGCTGAGCGTGAGTAATACGCAATAAAAGACTGTGTTTTCTCTTTGTGTCTTCGTTGAAACAACTAAAGACCTTGGATGGCTTTTCTTTCGATCAAATGTAGATGTAGATGGACACTGTGAAAAAATCAAACTGAAAGATTTTGCATCTACCTAAAAAGAAGAACAAAGTTCTGGTGGTTGACCAGTATAATTAAATCACAGCTACACTTTTGCCCCTTGAAGAATATATCATTTCAAAAAGTAAGCAAAAACAATTATCAGAATACACTTCTGACCTAAAGAATGATTGCCTCAAAAATGCACTATGAATAGTCCCATGTAATCTAGACAGCAGTAGTGTTAATAGGTGTTCTCTCTGGATACAGAATATGTCCAAAAGCATTTTAAGTACTTCTTGGGCAAAAAAGTAGGAAGGTTTTGGGGCACCAGATCAACTGGTGTACACAGAGATGCCAGTGGACGAGGTCTCAGATGGACACACACAAACTCTAATACTATAAGCAGCGGATCCGAACTCCTAGAAAACAGGAAGCGAGATGAAGATCAGCTGGCATACATTTGATCAGGTTAACATTTAGAGTTATTGAATGTTAGAATTAACATCAGAATCCGTAATTAACGTTCCCTAAATCTGTTTTGTTGTGAATATGAGCAGACATACATAGCTAGATTCGAAATCTACGAAAATGAAGTAACAGAACAAGTACAAATGTAGTGTATTGAATCTAGATTGTTTGCTTCACGGTTGTGCATCTTCTCTTCGGGCGTGAATGATGTTCATTGGTGAGTTATGCCTTGGATGGGGTTTGTTTCAGACAAACAACGCTCAGATAGTAATTGTGGTTCATCTCAACTGGGAGGTGAATGAGGCTAGAAGTCAATCCAGTGAAACGGAATTTCACCAAGTTAAATTAGTTATTTCGTTTTTGTCAAGTCCGCTGGAGTTCGTCTAAATAAACGAGAGCAACCTAGATCACGTTTAATAGGACAAAGAAGCTACTGCTGAGGACCACATCTGAGGGGATTATGGGAATCTGGAAGCTTAAAAAGCCTTTATACTCCAATACGTCATCAGTATCATCATCGACAGCATGACATCAGTATTGAACACAGATGCTTCGCTGCAATATCCCGATACAGTCTTCAGGCTATATGAACAACCAGTCATTCAAAATGTGCGAGGGTAAACAAAGCTTTTTTGGAAGCAATCTACTTTTTAATTATGAGGCAAAAACTGAGTATTATCTGCAAGCAGTGAGTGCCAGAAGGGAAATTAAGAATTAGGAATTAACGGTGCCTGGCATAGTTGAAGCAGCCTAATTGGCTACTGTAGGATAGATGAATTTCTGATAAATGAACGACGTTTCTTAAAGTGTGCAGCTAATTGTATTTCCTCATTCAGAACACAAACATGTCTACAAAATATTGGCCCTTGTAAGGAATTCCCATTTCCTAGGCAGTCATTTTTAGAAGAAAAACCACACTGAAAGTAACGGGATCGCTATTTTTGCTAGCATTTAGAGCCTTAGACAAAAGGTATGTTGTAGATGCACTGACTCCATCCTAACCCTGGAGTTTGATCTATATGCCTAGCTGTGCGATCTGACTTGAAAACGTCCGAGGAGACGAACAGTGCGTGGTTGGGCTAGTAGCTCCTCTCTTCTTATTTGCCCTTCTTTAGTTTTCACATCCTATCTTTCGCGGTATTCGTTGTTTCCCGTCTCTTAAAGACAAATGAATTGCGTTGCCAAGCTACGATTAGGAATTTTGCAGTAAATGTCCTTTGCCATACCTGATGCCTCGTAATATGGAAGACTATGCCGGTTATTCTTCGGCTTTCGAGCCCACAGTTAAATGCATCGGATGTTATCCGTACGCGCCTCACATCTTATTTGCACACTCAAAGCAAAACTGACTCAGTGAATTACAAGAAACCAACCTGTACAGAGATCATGATCGGAATTTGCCTGAAGCAGGGTATTTCGGCTTTGTTTAGTTTCTGGCCTGATGCGTCGGAGAATATGTAGGTTTAAATTCTTGGACGTGTTGCGTGATTGAATTCTTCTTTATCTTGTGAAAGAGATCAGGTATTTTTCTTGAACCTGTTTGACTGTCTCCAGATTTCTTACTGAAAATGAGGCAATGTATTCGTAGGGTCAACTAGCGTTAGGTGCAAAAAATAAATATTTACCTCGTGACTTGTCATTGGTTTACTTGAACAACACGTGGAAAAAGTAGTCAGTCACACTCCAAACCATGTTGATCAGACGCCTGTTATTTCGGATTTACCATAACAAACTTTGGTTTCGGATTGCAAAACATTTTGATTATCAAGTATGCCATGAATTATTCCCCCGTAAATGTCCGTATGCAATAAGCGTCAGCGTCTAATGACCGCGAAATATCATTCTGTTCTATCGCTTTTGAGGAGCAAAAAAGCTAATATGATTGAAGTAAAGATCAAGCGCAATATTCAAGTAGGATCCAGAATCTTTGACTGTTTTACTGGATAGGCTCCACGGCGTTTAAATTTGCCAAAAAAATACTGACGCTGTGAAACCTTGAACGCTAATACAATCGATATTGAACTCCATTGAGGGACTGAGTGATCTAGAAGAGAAAAAGCTGATTGATTGAATAATGAGGGACAAGATACAAAAGCATATGCTGCTCAGCTGTCTGAAATTTCATTCCAAAGCAAAGAGCCTTATTCACACTAATAAAGCTGGCTAGTGATCTGTAACTGCATCGAGTGGTCCCAACTCTTTGGAGCACATCGGTTTCTCAAGTTGAGAGTTAGAAATGAAACACAGGCAAATCATCATTTTAAAAAGATCTTTATTTTCTGGATTTTATTGAACTGTCCCGGGGTGGGGTTAAAATGGGATAAGCAGCTAAGCCAAGCAGCGTAGACAATGTCAGGAATGTTTTCACCCTGTGACGAGATGTTTATGCAGACGCTAACCAGCAACAACAGATTTATCTGATTTGCAATGAACACACAGGTCTTTTTCTGACGCCTGTAGTTGTATCGTTTGAACATCGTCATAGAGCGGGCGATCAACAGGTTGAAACAATAAGAAGTCCGGTTACACAATAGCAAAATAAGTAGCACAGCAGCTCACGTTAGAATGCCTGTTCAGTCTTTTTCGATTCAAGATGAATTAATTTCAGAATAATCACCAAACAAGGGTTCTTTGATAGTGGAAATCCCACAGCTTTAGAACTTGTCAGAGAAGTCCTTGAAGTTCGAACGAAAATAAGGGTCTATCTCGTAGACCAGAGGGGATAAGACTGTGATAATGAAAGCTCCTTTGCAAAAGGTCACTGCCTTGCTAAATGGCGGATTTTGTCCGCCTAATACCATTCTATGTCCTCAATCCGACTCACAGATTCTTTGGTCAAACAGTCCATGTTGGGAAAAAACTGGTGTAATGTCGAAATCCACCACAAATCACGCTTTAAGTAGATTCACTTCGTCTCATTCTAGTGTCATCAGGCAATCAAAACTGGACTATTGGCTGTGACCCGTCACTAGCTAAACCCGAGCCTACTGTTAATTTGTCTGTACGTCTGCCTGTTAGCTAGGCTTCAAAGGTGACAGGTAATCTCCACTGTCATTTGAAGTGGTAGTGCGATCCCATCTTGAGCAGTGTGGTTCACCACTATCCCCATCTGACTTGGATTGCTGGTTTGGTAGTTTGCTTGTTAACTCATTTTGTCTCAATTGGGGCAAAATTACATCTATACATGAAATACATCGATTCCCTATCATTTACTTCTAAATGCACTTTCATACAGTTTGTTATCAGTCAGAAGGAAGACGAGATCACGGTGTTGTTTTTGTATCGCCCGACTGCTTCTAGTGAAAATCCATCCAGAATTCCAATGACAAAGCCTACATCTTACTTTATTCCCCCCCGGGGATTTACGTGATCGTGATCAGAAATTACGTTCCAACGCCTTGTTCGGTGAACTTTACACTGACACACTGTCCTCTTTGTGGTCAGTTGTTTTGCCAGGACACTTGAAGGTACAAGGAGATCAAGATCATCTCTTATGGCAAGGCATTCTTGGCACCAAGGCATTCAGCCTGCGAACGTCGAGGATTTTGTCTGGAACAACAGTAAGTACTTACAATGCCGAAACAGTGGTCAGTCCCATCCAATAAGCCACTTTATCGATTACGAGAAAGAGATTCGAGATGTGCTGGAACAGACTGTAAGCCTGTCCGAATCAAGTTAAACACCCAGCTTTGCGAGTCATACTATGCGAACTCCGTCAACTGACACATCAGTGTGAGAAATCAGATAATCAGGTTGATACGCTAGCGCCAACTGGCTTCTGTATTGATGGACCTCAATCAAATTGCCCAGCTCGGCGAACAAACCAACGACCATCTATGCTACCTGAGCTGCCAACATTCTCTTCCATAGAGAATTTCAATCTATCCATGCAGTTGACGAGTGCGTGTCGCAACCTGAAGCTCTAATTGTTAAAACACAGGTAGGTCCGGTAACTAATCCCAGATGGCCTGACTTGCTTGACAACAGAATTAAAGAGATAAAGTTGGCCCTGAGTATGTTCTTGTCCATCTGGGAAATGATGGTTAGAAGGTGCTCAAACTGACATGAATCAACAAGCCAAATGCACCAGAGTCGAACGATGGGAAAAAACAAATGTACTGAGGGATTCCCTCTTAGGCAGCAGTACATATAATTTTACCATCCTCCGATAGTCGTTTCTGGATCATGTATCAATCCGGTCACATCTCTCCAAAATGTCACTGTGAGACTGAAACAGACAGGCAGAAATACTGAAAGTACTCTCCTCATCCGACCTATGGGCATTGAATCGGATGGACCAGATGAACTATCTCGTAGAAAATTGACCCCCCTCTGATTATTGGTGGGGTGCGCTAAATACGCCTGGGATTATTAAATGACTTGTTTGCAGAAGTCATCAGGTGCGGTTACGACCTTGAACGGGGCGCTTCTTTAATTGATCAAGCACACCAGGAAAAACAGGAAGTCTCACCGGAATACAAAGATTGTGCACCTCCATAAAGGAAAAATAAGTAAGACCTGATCCGATGAATGCATTGATATCAACCCGCTGAGTTGAACAAGTAAGCTTCCGGCATGAGCCGTACTTGACCGTTTGACTGCTCTGTTATCGAACTGCACCTCATGGATTGTTTTTCGTGTTGGTCATCATACAATGGATTTGGTATGTGCCACACCATCAATTCAAGAAAAGTCCAGCGAACATTTGCAGCCTGTATGGACCTTCTCCATAGATTTCGTGAAGACTCTTGATTCACTCAACCACGAAGTTCTGCGGTCAGTCCTTGCTATACATGACTACTCACAAGCACTTTTGAATCGTTTCCCAGACCTACATGATGGGATGAGAACAGAAGTCGAAGTCCATTAATTGACTTTAGACGGTTTTCAAATCTTTATAGGCATTAAGGGATATGTCCTTGTTCCTACCTCTTCAGTCTGCATCTAACGCAAGTTGTAAAGTAGGTTTTCATAAATGACGATGTTGGTGTGCAGTTCAAATTCGGATCCCGTTTGTAACAGACGGCTAAGCTTGTAAAAAGCTTGCGGGTGTGTGCGTACTCATCTCTGCCGACAAATGGTGGCTGCCAGCAGTCGTAACTCTCCCAATACAAAACCGAGAGTTACCAAAAGTCGGTAAAATTGTCCGTTTTGGGTTGTCCATCAATCTATCTCACCTGAAAGTCTTGATGGACGGGTCAAGTGATCGACATGACCAGAACATTTGCAGTGTCGTCGTTCGAAGCGTTGGACAAAACAATTACATCGCTCAAGCGCCAAATGATGCAACCTTTCAGGCGTGATAATTCAGATGCGTTCAGCCTGCGATGATAGAGTAGTGGCAATCCACTCTCTTATAACATGCTCGAAGTTCAGACTAAATATATATACCGCTGATGGGTTCTAATAAGAGTGAACCTCGAGTCAGTTGCTTCCCCAATGATATGAACTCACCAGCATATACTCGCCTAAATAGCAGGTGGACTGTTCAAAAGACCGTGATGTGAGTGTGAATTCTACTAATTCTGCAACCACCAATAACCCATACACAGTTGTTCGTTGCTTTGTTCTGCTTACGGTGTGTCAACTTTTGTCACTTATTCGTACATACCGCTTCTGTCCAGGGTGGATTTGAAGTGCGATAAAGCCAGTTCGGGTACACCCATTTCATGAGGTGAAGAACAATGACCATGTTGATGGGGTACTCATCGTTCTTGTCACATCCAATTACTACGTTAAAAGAAGAATTCCGGAAATGAAATCCGGAAGGGACTGTGAGCCTCTTGTCTGGTGACAGAACACTGAGGTTGAAAAAAATATTCTTGTCACTGCGGAATCGCTTTGGATAATTGGATCTCGGATTCAGGCTAAGAATGATCAAATTAAGCAATTTCGGAAAAAATGGTTTTGCTCCCCAACTGCCGATGAAACGTGGATACGGGGACCCATAATTGATTTTTTCACGAAAATACCATGAACATTTCACGTTGCTTCGGAGGTCTGAAGTTTGGAATTGAATTAAGATGCATTTGTTTTACAGCCATCATTGGTTTGTTTATAAGACTCGTATCCCCTTGTGGCAACGGCCGTTAATCGTCACGGTGTGAAGCTAGTTATGTACATACTGACATGTACGTTGCCAGATTGAACGACTGCTATCCATCCAACAGAACCCTTTATCCAATGATGTGTACAGCACGGATCTAACCAATCTAACTTTTGTTGGACGCTGTACACGTGTCCTACGCAGAATTTTTTAGAGGGAGTTCCTCCAACACTTAACACAGCTATTAGGCTTCCGGGAAGAATCCTTCAGTATGAGGCAAACCTTTCGTCAAGCGTAAACCGAACGCGAAGCGGTGTGGATATTAATCAGTCACTTTGAAAAAGACATTCTCGACCTGAGTAGTCAAAAAACGTTGGTCCATTTTCTTAGCCCTGCGCCTAATCATGTTCAGTTAGCATAAAATAAAGAATCAGCCAACGGTGACCGGCTATTTTAAAGTATATCCACAGACTTCTCTGAAGAAACATATTTTTTTCACTCAGGAACACTGTTGGCTCTTACGTTGTTTTGGTATACACACAACAGTTGCTGAACGGTTTGTAAACTACCTTCGACATATGATCCGCTGTCCATTTGACATGTTAGGCTATTTCTACGGCCGCCTTCAAGAAGATTGACTATCTTGTTTATCAGTATCACTAGCCCAGTAAATTACGCCACGTGAGTGCAGAAAGCTGCCATAAGTTCGCAGCACTAAAAGACGTGAATTTTACGCACTACTCAAACAACGGATATTTCCTGGCTCATTTAAAAGTAGGTGCTTTCATTATCGTGACCAGGAAAGCTTCAAACAGCTGTTGCGTACACACGACTTGGTGTACCATCCGTACACGGCTTTAGCAAAGTGCACTAATTCGCATGCCAGTTTGATTTTGACAAAAGACTCACCTGTAACCCAGATGAATCTCTCGTCTGCAACAGTTTTAAGCAACCGGGCCACTTGATACTCGGGATATCGCGATACAGTGCATAGACGTAATACACTACTAATAGGGCTGCTGAAAATTCTTTGACAGCCCACGACCTGTCTCGCCCTTCTTGGGTTTTTATCTGCTTGTTAGCAGAGGGAGTTGTTATGCTCGGTGTAGTGTTGTTTTTTTTAATTTTGCGTGGGAGTAAATTTGCATTTGTTCATGAGTTTTAAACTCCAGTACACAACAAAAGAAAGATGAACACTTCGTTCGAGATGATTTTGTGCAAAATACTTTTGCACTTCATAAGGATCTCGGATCCGTTGTCACCCACTTACAGCAGCAAACCCCGCGCAAACGAAATTTGCTTTACTGTGGGCTTCTGAAAAAGCTTCTAAAAAAAGGTGTCTGAAGAAGCATCTGCAGATAATGCATTGTAGTGGCCACTAGATCACTACTTTTCAGTTTGGGAGATCTATACCGACAGTACAGGTTGTTGAAGTCAAGCAGTCCAATATAGCTCAACCATAAACATCAATAACATCATCTTCATTCCAAAGAGAACGATATCCAGACGACATCCTCAGCACTCAGGTGTCGTCAGAGCTGCTGAAGCCTGATGAGCTTATCGGTGCAGAAGTTCTGTGTTACGCAATATATTTTTCTGCACTGTTACTGGTTTGTGATAGGTGTAATTTGTGCATAGTTGACAAGGCTAACAAACACAATGGTCCCAAACTAATGATGCTACCAAGCGCTCATAAAACCCTTCTCAACGAACCTTTATTTATTCTATTTGGATTGATGATTATTTTAGAATCAAACCTTTTAGAAGCTCTGTAATATCGAGCAATGAACGAACAGTAGCCGACAATTGTAAACGTTTTCGAGGGAAGCACTCCTCAGATGCACAACCATGGCACTGTGAGTACTTTATTTCCGACGATGTACATTTGCCCGGAATAATTTCGCTTTCTTATACTGGGATGGGAAACCATTCATACATCAACGATAGCTTTAGCTGACGGACGTTAGAAACGAGTATTGTCATTTGCATCGTTTACAAATAGGAAATCACAAGTCTCTTGATTGCAACATGTAGATTTCTTTTTAACTACGTTGGTTTTTGTCACATTGGTGTACTCTGTACTCTAATTACATCGAAAACAGCTAACTGGAACAAGAACTCCATGATGAGGTGATGTGGTACTAGGCGTTTAAACTTTCAAGCAGAACAGTAACTCACGGAATAGTCGTGGGGAGACCAATAGGGATGCAGCTGCATTCCTCAGAACTCATTTTGGATAAGCGGACTACACAATCATCTTTGGTTTCATTGACACCACAGAGTTGAGCTAGAAGCTTGAAATAAGAATGTAGGAGTAGGCTTATATGCTCAGTTCACGCCAGGCAAAACGGCATAGTGCTACCACGTACTTGCTTAAGAACTAAGGTAACATAACATACGTCACACCAGGCGAGAACCAAAAATGATGCTCATCTGGTGAGATCTGACACATTTCAGGGTACCTCTGGCGTACCATCGTTAGAAAACACGAGGAGTGGCATAATGATAGTTGGATCGCTATCCACATGCACCTTCTGATAAGCCTAAAGGTAAGCTCAACTGTACGGTAATGAAAAGCTAGAAGTAAATATGATGAGTATCACATTTTCTTTATGAGTGATACATATTCAGCCTAAATGTGTGACCACGAGACATCCTGGGGATTTTGAGTAGCAAATGAAAAGCTTTTCGAGTGGCTTCCCAAAGACTACCGCTTTTTCCAAAATGAGTGTAGTGAGTGGTGTTTGATTATCGAAGCGGTTGCTTACTTACAACGCTAATCCTTTGAAAATAATGGACAATGTATTCTGGAAGTTTTAGGTGTACAAATGGAAGAAAAATACCACACTAAGGTAGGCATTTTCATTCTACTTTCTAATATCATGTCTACGTACGTAGAATTTATTCCAGCCAGTGTTTCAGGGGAAAATATACTCTGTGTGGTCGACATGTTCTGTTTATTGTTAGTGCACAACTGTTTTTCTCTTGGGTTCCGAATTTTACTATATGGGAAATAGTTTTTTGACAACTAACCTGCATCTCCGCTACCCTCAGTTTCTAACAAAAAAAAACGAAGTTATTGACCACAATGACTAATTCCAAATGATGGGGCGTTCCTGGGGAGTCAAAGAGGTGGTTCAAATGTGAATTTACTGCATCTAAAGGGCCAAATTGGTACTTCTTCGTTGTGCGGCTATTCCCACCTAAATACGGACTACTGGTGTAATCCAGCAGAATCGCCGTTATTAATGGCGGGCGCTCCCGCTGGGTGAAATTGACTAAATCCTGAGATGTACGTAAAAATTGAAAGTCGCTGAAAGTCATGCCGCTAATTTAAAAAATCAATTGCGTTTGCTTGTAATTCCAAATATACTAAAGCATGTGCTTCATTTTATAGTTATACGACGGAACATCTTCGATACATTTGTTTTACTTCACTACCTGTCAACTCGTTCATGTATTCACAGAAATAAGCAAAAATTGGCATAAGGTGGGAGCAGTGTTCTCGAGTGCCAGATGAATACGCTGACTTGGATTTCCTTCTGGTAGAACATCTAGACGTTCAGATGGCAGCCTCTTCTGGCACAGGCCATCCCGCTGTGTATATATGAGCTTTTATTTCATTGCATTCTGATACTACTGTTCCAACTTGAATCAGTTGTGGTTGAAATCTTTCAGTAGCCCTCTTGCTCCTTCAAAACTACAAACATCTTGTTTCTGGGGAAGGATAGATCACGCTAACGAGGCTACCATTAAAATCGCCGGTATTTCATGCTACTATGGGACGAAGTGAGGGCTACGGCATAATGTGCGTTGTATGTAACCGTACAGTTGTTTGTTTGTTATTTATTAGTAACAGAGTAGTGCACCGGACTTAATCAGTAAAGCTGGACAGACGGCCTGATCGACCATGACGAAATACAACAGTATTCATCTTCCCTGATTTATTAAGAGGAAGTTTGTTGAAACCATCCATTTCTTTGTTTAAACTGGAGGTGGTACTTAGCGCATTAGTTCAATGCTAACGCTATCGGTGCCGAGATAAAGTTGCCCTTGTAGACTGAAAGTCCTTGTCGAAGCAAAATAAGCAGAAGAACGTTGTTTTTACTTGTTTTCGTTACAGTCTTTTCCGGTCTGAGTGAAGAGAAAAAACGTAAATTTTCATCTTGGAACTCTAATTCGCTTTTCGTAGGGCACTGGACTCAAAGGCTGTCGTTCCTTATTGCTTCTCCATGAATCTGTTTGGCTTTGAGTTAAGCATTGTTGTACGAGTACACACAGCATCATGAAAATTGACTCACCTGACCTGAAGGGCTGTATAAACTTGTGGTACAGTTAGGCCCTGATCCCCAGCATAGGACATCTGGGCAGCGGATTGATGCAGAATGATTCTGTTGCGACAATTCATTGTATATATCATTCGTCCAGAGAATGATTGATGTTTTGGCAGGAAGATATATCAGTTGATCGAATTCATATTCGTTAAGCAGATCCCCATCAATAGTTTGCATGAGCTTACATGCACTCAAATCGTACTCCTGTTAAGATATTATAAATCACCACGACGGCATATGAATATCTGAACTTTGAAACACAGAGATTCAAACATGGAATCAAGCGATAACGTAGTCGCTTAAATGTCTGTCTCCCAAAATACCTGAATATGATGAACAAGTGAACCAACAATTCACTAAAAGTACTTTATGCACCGGTTGTTCATTATAAATCCATCGTTTCTGTTTGTCAGCTGTGAGGATGTAGACAGAGATTTTAATCGTGTTTGGCATAATTTCAACATTCTGCCGCAGTTTTCATGTTTATTGCTACAGGAACCCCATCCCGTAGATCTTAGAAATCGACAGCTCTAATGGCAACGGAATTCGTCAGTTCCAGTGATCGCCCATCCCGAAATAAATGAGACGACTGTCCAATTTCCCTAAGATCGTTTGAACTTACCGAGCTGCTGTGTTCAAATTTGCAGCCGAATGGAAAAATAGACCTACTTTCTTAACTCTAATTCCACCGTTTTGCTGGCTAGAAGGACAAATAAAGAAAGAACATGTCGGGACACCAACGTCCTATCACGAAAATATCACCAACTGCAAGCTATTGTGGATGCACATCAAAAAACACTCAACGACAGCCAATTTACCCATTACAGATAGGCGATAATAATCTTTGCTATTATTGGGCCATTTTGACGTGGCAAACTACAGAGACAAGTGAGTATCGGCCAAATTTTGGCACTTATGCAGAAACGTTTGTTCTTTCAACATTTGTGGTGGTTGATGTACAGACTGGCTGCACTGTGGTTTTATTGGGCCTCGTAACAACTCCGTGTCGTATACACATATTCCTCCCGATAACTTAAAAGCTTTAAAAAAACATTGGTGCACCGTCTCAAAATTTTTCTCACCTCCAAATAATTTTAGCAAGATGATTTTCGGAAATTAGATCGGCCTCTTCCTGGTTGTACTCACAGTCAGGTGGGAAATGCAGTCAGCTGAATCGCAGTTACTTTATTCCAGTCACTTCATTTACGCACCCCTACTGCAGCCGACTGCAGAATAACACAAGCCAGATGATAACAGCTGTGATACCCACGTCGTGCCTTATTTTGTGTCCGTAACACTGGAGAGGGAGACAGTTCTCCTGAAGGATTAGTTCAATTTTCCTTGAGTTTCGTTAAAAACGTCGACTTGGAAACCCCAGCGACATGAAGTAAACCTTATTTAGAAGTTCACTGTTGGTCCACATAACGGACAGTTCAGTTTTTAAGTAACGAAGTGGAATTCTAGAAAATATTTTGCAGAACCCGCTTGAAAACAGCCAAAAGCCTATTTATTATCATGTTTTTTTGGCGAAAAATAAATATAGTATCTTAAGCTCTACCGTCCGGAGAGGGTTGACTATTTTACTGCATAAATTTGTGAAATCGGATCAAAGTCCAAAGGACTGTATAAAATCTGCGGTAAATACACAGGAGCTTTCTCAACTCCTTTGTGAAAATTCATAAGTGTCTATCTTCCAGCGTGGCATGTACCAGTTTATTGAGGCTGAAGCATGCTATGGATGTATAAGTATGCAAAAAGACAAACCTAAACAGTAGATAAATCTCAATGAAAAGCATTCATATGTATGGCATTATATATGGAATCCGTGGTAATAGAGTACTCTTCTGTTGCAGCAGTTTAACCCTGAAATGAGTCAAATCTTCTTGGAAATCTGACGACCTCATATGATACAGATCCAGCTATTGGGTTCGTTAGGTTCTCATATTTCACACTTTTTTGTTTTTCGTTGTCATCAATAGGAGGAAGGTTTGCAAAAGCTCTTATGGCACCAGAGGCACTTTACATGGTCTGCCTATAACGATCTTTGGGAATGTGTCGACAACTGTTTCACAACATATTTTAAATCCCGTTGCCCGTTTTCACCGTGCACCAGGACAGTTTGAGACTCTACTTAAGAGTATTTCGCGTTGGGTTGAGCAACATGTGAATGTCTTATCATTTTGACATCACCTTAACTAAATTGCTAGTACAAAGTTAGGTTACAAGGTGTGAGTGGTGACTGAGCAGAAGGGAAGTTTGTTAGACTATGGCCGCGCCCCTCACCCGGTGTCATGTCCTATTCTAGCACTGTCGCCTACTATAACGTAAAGCACGGCCATTGCATCACCCGATTTGTCATGTTAAACTCACAAGAAGGACCTCGCAATATCTGCAGCGAAATTAAAGCCAAGCAGCCACATTTCTCTTGTTATCAGGATGCCGCGATGCATTTATAGGATATGGTCGAGTACAAACAAATATACCCCCAGCTCTGCAGTGGGAAATGCGACGGATCTGTATAAATTGACCGTGTTATCGTGTTTCACTTTAGACTTCCGCAAAGACGTTGTTTCTTTGTGGTGCATGTGTATGTGCTGTGCGTCGTTTTTCACCAAAAGGCCGAAAAACCCTAACTGCATCTTCATGGATTGATAGTATGATACCCAAAAACGTCACGGAGCTTACAGTTTCTAAGTTCCTACCTATTAAGTTATTATTTAGGACTGTTCTCAGGAAATGCGCGAAATGGTTTTGCTCAAGAGGGGTATCACATATTTCTTGAAGGAATAAGCCCTCCCCGTTTTGTATTAGGTGATTCATTTCTTTGCTTGAAAGCAGTGATAGCACAACATCCATTTTGGACGTACTACATAATAAAGTTAGTCCTTACTAACATCTGTACCAGATGACGGAAGAAAAATAAACCTAGAAAATCGAAGTGAAGCTTGTCTTCTAGATGATGGGTAAGTGAGGCGTACGACAAACTGTTCACTCACCCACTTCTGCCATAGACCAGCCTGACTTACGAAAAGAGCATTCTTTCGTGACTGAGCAGAGTATTAGTTTGGTGCACCATTTAGAAATTGTCTAAAAATACAATAGAAATATGTTTTTTGCAAGATAAATATAATGCTGTCTGATGCAAGGTCAGGTCTCCACTTCCTCAGCAGTCTCAATCCTTTGGTGTAAAACTACTGTGCAACTTGCATAGACTAAGTGTGAATCCGTCTATTAACCACATACCTCACGGAAGTAGATAAAACAGACTCCTCACTTGGTGGAGAATTCAACCATTCCGTAATGTGGAAATATAAATTTAAGATTCGATCAAAAGTTAAGATAATGATGGTGGAATTCAGAGTATTTTGACCTGACAAGTCCCTTGTCTTGTAGTCAGGCTTATAAAGTTAACGCGCAGGCCGAATTCCAAGCCAGTCGTTAAATAATTTTCAGCTCCGTGACTATTCAGATAAAAAGCTTTGAGTTTTCTTTAGTACCCAGAAACTCTGACTGCAGCAGTAGCTTGTTAAGTGAGATTTTCCGCCTTATTTAATTCTCTCAGGTGTGAGAACGGATCAAATTGTTCTGATTTGGAAATGCAGTTACCTATAACGTGTACGTGGTAAATGACTGGAATACGCAAACAGAATGGTAATTTGATACGTGCCGTATACATTATTTCACTATCAGACGGTCATCATCTGTACACGGTCAACCCAGTGTACCACGTGTGAAATTCATTGACTGATTGATCGTTTTGTGGGGTTACAGTATATAAAAAATAAAAAACCAAGCAAGTATAAATTTTAGAATTATATGAGAGCCTGCAGACTGCAAGTCATTGAGTCATTTCAGATTACTGCTTCCCAGCTTTCCATTCTCAACGGTCACTACTGAAAGAATTTTAAAATGATAAGAATATTTTCTTACCTCGTTATCGGCGTTGTAAATTTTCACGAATCGTCCCTGAGGATTGATTTCAGAAATTTGCAGTGCCACTGAAGTACTATGACAAAAAGTAGGAGAGGTTTAATGAAGACTAGAATAACGGAAGAGGCAGAAAAATGTTGAGTCTTAAAAATGGGAGCTGTTCTTGGAGATGAAAAACGTATCCATATTCATTAAGCTTGAGTGCATTTGCGCCCAGCACTCCAACCCTACTACTATCATTACTGTGACGACTCTTCCGTCAACCCCCGTATTCTAGATGGGAGATCCTGAAATTTGACCCCTCACTAATCAGATGGATAACGGTCTTTTCATTGGCTAATGCAACTTCTGCCTCATAAGCGAAACTTAACTAACGTCCATTTTATAGTCAAACTATTTTGTGGCCAAACTCGAAACAGGGGGCATGCATGTAATGGTACGCATCGACATATAGCAAATAAATAAGCAGCTCGCATTGGTGCATGCCGCCTATCATTTGTCCTGGTCATCACTTCAACTACCATTGGGGAATGTTCTCGCATGAGTACATTTTCAGTCGCCTGGAACACTTGTCTTTCGACAAGCTAGTGTGTATTGCTTATCTGGTAAGTCTGTAATAAGGTACGCCCAAGTGCTTTCACAAGATGTCCTCAGTCGGTTGAGCTGAGTTAAATCATTTCGCTGTCGGTGTTGCTAATGAATAATATTATATATATACGTATATATAAATAATATTCAGATAACAAGTGGTTTGGTCAATTCAGCCCACGATCCCTCCAGTTTTGTTAGTCCTCATAGTGGATGATCCACGGAAAACACAAGTTACCTTCCAAGATGATAGAGGAAACGGCAGTGAAGAAGAAATTAAGAAGACTCAGCAAGCACTTGTGACTGAAAAGTTTAAATTCAGTCCACTTTAATTGAAAAGAAAAGATGCATAACCGAATAAAACAGAAAGCGCCAGCAAAAATGAATTAATGGGAGGTTGTGTGGTCACAGCTCTGTACGACTCAATCAAAACACTACCCCGCCACAGGTAATTTGACCAACAAAATTAATAGAAGGTTCCTGGTGAAACAGCTTTTTACATCCTATGCACCAAAACGTTTGTTAGGAAAGCAACAAGGCGTTACTTCTCAAACGTCGGTGGTGAAGTGATATTTGTTGTTGAAGAAACCGGTTGTATATAGGACACAAGGTTACTGCGGTAAAGAAGGCGCGTATTTGATACTGATTCAAGAGGTCTTTGCTTCAAAGCACTCTCCTTAAATATACTCTGGAGTGAAGAGCTCAGACAAAGTCTTAAATATGATTCCATAGTTTTAGTAAGATGTAGTAGACTGTTTTAACAAATTCCTTACCCTCTATGCAGTTTTATGCTACTGCATAGTATTACACCTCAGGGGCACTGAATTAGCACTTGTTCGTTTGAAGACACTGTTGGCCGTGATACTTCTATTCGGATGGGCTTATTTCACTCAAGCCTACATCATTCGTCCCCATCTTTTTAGATGTTTTTAAAAGCGTTTCCTGACCCGTCGCGATAAGTTTAATTTGATCAGTCCAGCCAAGGTTATCGTACCCCCTCCAGAAGTGCGGCTCATCCGCACCATGTCGTCAAAGGTCATGCCACGTGATGTGGCTTAACTGACTGGCAGCCAAATTCGCCAGCCAGATCCTCATCACTAGATTCTTTCTAGGGTTTCTGAAACGCCGCTGAGAAGTGGAGATGGTTATTTAGTCTACTGACCGCAAAATTGTGAGTTTAATTGTATGGGTGCTCCTAGCACATAGTCTGGAATCATGGGCCTCCAGAACGGCAAAATTTGAGACTTAGAAGATTTACTTACGGTACCGAAGCTCTCCGGCATAGTAATCAACCTGGTCATAGCAACGGTATGTCCGAATTGGTTACGTTAAATTCTCCTTAATGTTTAACATTTTCCTCATGATTTTGTTAACGAATGCCTTTGAGGTTCCAACGTAACTGAACAATAATGGGAATGCTTGTGTGGTAGAGTGTGGCAAATAAGTTACCCACACCCTGACTCACGCTCTTTAGTCAAAATTTCTCTTAGTATGTGATTGCAGTGATAAGCCTACCTGCAGTTAATTTCATTTTCGTCGTGGGAAACTCAGAAAACGCAAAAAATCTAGCTTGAAGAATGATGCCAAGTAAAACACCAAGGATGAACGAGACCTGTGAAACTCACCGATAAAAACCCCTTGCCATAAAATTTTGTTTTCTTTTGCTGTCCCTGCTTGGCGCATATTGATTTTCGTTTACTATGACTGAATATATCGTCGGATATTCAAAATTCACTGCTGTACCAGACCTTGATGAAAATTACCTGTTGAACTCAGCTGATATTCTTTATTTTCAAGGAGGCTCTGCAGCTTTCTTATCTCATTCTGCACGGGTATTATGTCGGTGCAACTCTCCTCGGAAGTAATAAATTTCTCAACGAGAGATCTGAGAAGCTCTATGATGGTTTCTGCGTAAGTTGATTTATGGGAGATCGAATGTCGCGGAAATTCCGTACTTCGCCTTTTTCTTCGAGTTCGGTCCACTGACGTGTACGACTGTTAAAAATGCGAAAAACTACGTTGTGGGAAATTTCTGATATATTGCTGGAAAACGAGTAGAACTAAAAGCACTTACGGCATCTTTTTGCAATGAGTATTTTAGTAAACGCCTTGGTCTAAAACATAGACCATTTTAGAGAAGGACAAATAATATATGCAAAAAACCTCTGTTCAAAGATACCTACTGATTCATACTCATTCAAGACCAATATTTCTGTAGTTTTAACTCATAACTTCACAAGAAATGAGTATTCTGAGTGTTCACTCAAGTTTGCGACAACGTCAGAAAATGTGTCAATGAGTCACTATCCTGGTTGTTTATCCAACAAGCCATTTAAGTGGAACTCAAATGCAGGAACCTTAAACAGACAGCAGTTTCCTGGAAATATACTCCCTTGTAATTCAGAAACTTAGTAAGAAGGAATGAATGCATAATCGCATTTCAGAATTTTGGACCGCAATATTTTGTCACTGCTATTATACTAAAAATAGTGTCCGCCAGACAGTTTTGTGCGTCAGATTCTGGAACAGCGACACTGCTTCCAGCAACCAACAATGGTTGTTTTTCTTGATCTGAAAGCTGCCTTTGACTCCGTGGACCGCCAAGCACTATGGCAGTGTCTGTGGAGCAAAGGTGTCATCCATAAATCCTTGAACCTCATTAAGGCCCTGTATGCCAAATCCTGCGGCCATGTAAAGGTCTACGGGAAGCTTTCCCTGAGTCCACCACATCCAGTGGTGCCCGACAGGTTTGTCCTCTTTCACCTTTCCTCTTCAACTTCGTCATTGATACGATCATGGAAGACTCACTACCAGCCTCTAATGCCTGTGGGTTCGAAGTGCTCCCTGGGCCCCCGCTCACAGCCATCGAGTACGCAGACGACATAGCTCTTCTGGGATCTGACCCCATGGTAATGCAAGCAATATTAAATGATCTAGATAATTCCACCTCGCGGTTCGGCATGCGCTTCACATCTGCAAAGTGTAAAGTGCTACTACAAGACTGGGTGGGCTCGAACCCTAGCCTCATGCTTGCTGATGAACCGATTGAGGTGTTAGACAAATTTGTTTACCTGGGCAGCTGTACCTGTCCCGGTGATCTCGCGAAAGATGATATTTCCATCCGAATTGGGAAGGCCAGAGCAGCTTTTGCGAACCTACGTCACCTGTGGCTTAGGCATGATAACTTCTTTGCCAGGGGTCGAGTTTACAATGCTGCGGTTCGCTCCATATTACTATACGGGTCAGAAACCTGGCCGCTGCGCACCGAGGATGTCAAAAGACTTTCAGTGTTTGCCCATCGATGTCTTCGGAGCATTGCCCGAATCTGGTGGGAACATCGGATCAGCAATTCTGAGGTACGTCGAATGGTATTCGGGAGAAATAACTCACCCTCGATAGATGAACTGATCACACTGCGTAGGTTGTGCTGGCTTGGCCACTTGCTGCGTATGCCAGTCGACCGACTTCCTCGAAGAGCTCTTTTCGCACAACCACGTGAAGGGTAGATTAGAGCCAGAGGTGGTCAAACAATGACTTGGCAGCGAAGTATAGAAGCCAAAACCAGCAAACCCAGCTGCGCTAGTCATTGCCGTCTTCCTGGGTGGGGACCCCGAGACGGGCCACATCAGTGGATGGAGACATTGTCAGACATCACCCAGTCGCGCCCTTATTGGCACTTGTGCATCCAACCTATTGCCTTCAATGCATAGCTCCTTTCCCAACCCCCTGACCTAACAGTCCACCTACAGTGTTATATTTACACACTGATTTATCAGCTTCAGCTTCCAACGCGCAGCTACCTACCCCAACTCCCCGAATCATGGGTGAACGAAACTGTGGCAGCTTGAAGAAACATTAACAAATCGACGCTTTTGTGGAATAATTTTGCTCAGAATCTATGTAGGTTGTCCGAATGCAAAATGTTTGCTTTGAACTAAACGACTATAATGTGTACTTTTTATGTATCAGTAGTTTATGCTCACGACAGCTTTCCCACTGGTATCAGCGTAGATAATTCGACTCTGTCTTCAGTATATGCACAAAATTCTTCGGTTGGTAATTGGTCAGGTGGCTGTTGATCTGTTTGCCGAGCTTGGCAATTGATTTACAATTGATTGTGCAAATCAATTTCCAAGCTCGGCGAACAGATCAACAGCCACCTGATCAATTACCAACCAATACACCCGAGCTACCAATATCCCAACACATTGCCGACAAAATTCTTCAGCCGCAAAATGCTATCTTTTGATACGTACCTCCTGATTACCTCTCTTACTCCCATTTACCGTCAATATTACTTAACTCAACGTGTGATACAATCCAGTTTTAGTCAAGTTACTAACACAGTCAAAATTTTGTCGTGCAAAACTGAATGCTGAAAATCACTTAGATCCGCTCACTAACACCAGGAAAGTCCACAGTAAGCACCTCAGACTTCACCGACCACTCCTCATACGGTCACTTCAAATCACTTATCGGAAAAAACTGTATGAATTGAGCGTTTGTCTTAGCAAGAACCTGTGGTTGAGAACCTACGCAACCTTTAGAATCATAAAAAAAATAGGAACGTGAAACATGTGTCTGCTTATTTTAAAAGTCCAATGATAATCAAATTGAACACATTATTTTAAAACTTTTTGAAAAGCGCAGACATTGTCACTGTGTATACCACTTTGCTTACACCAAACTAAGTCTCACACTTTACGCAGACGACGTAAAAAAAAGCAACTGCTGTGAGCAGAGGGAAAATGTTTAGGCCTTTGACTTACCCTAACCATCTTTAAAAATGGTCACAACGTAAATAATTTATGCTTAAAATAGAAAAATGTTCAATGCGACACATCAAACACCCTTGCTTGGTATTCGCCGAGCAATGAAACTTACTAAAAACAGCGTAACCAAAAGAGGTCTGCAAACGGTCAGGTAACCATACGTACGGTGTTTTTCCAACTTTTTGAAGGGAAAAAGGCTATTGCTCAGATTAACTTGTCCAAGCGTGACCAGTAAAATATCAAACTTCTTTTATTTTTAGACCATAACCGACCTGCAACACAATAAATCCAGCAACCTTGGCTTTAGCATTCCTGAAAATTCCCTATGCTTCTCCAAGCAACTCTCGCAATTTAAAATGTGGCCTCTTAAGTCAAACATATACCTTCAGTTATTTGCCCTTGGCTTCATTAGATTGCTACTAAGTGCCTACAAGGTGATATCTTTTATGGTTTGGGTCCTCTCTTGAAATAAAATTTCTTCCACTCACGTATTTGACCGTAAAAGTGTAATTGAATTTAGCCACATTCCATTAAAATAAACTATCAAAGCACTGGATCCATATGTGGCAAACCAATCCTTTCTGAGCGCACGGCACACAGTATAACTCGCCCCTAATCCATGATGCCCATTCCTTCATACTTGATTGTGACTAAATTTTTCAGTAGCCACATTGTAAAAGCAAACAGATGACCAAAAATCAACCAGCATAAACCCTGCCTTGGCTTGCAGGCACCAATAGTGGAACTCTGAAAGACATGCTCACAATTTTTAGCCATTGTTCGCAAACCAACTTCGATACAAAGTACATTTTTATGAATCTAACAATAATTTTCTTCAAATAAATCATGGACGCATCAGTCATTGGAATATACTAAGCTTTACAAATTCCTCTTGCCAAAATAAAAACAACTTAATCTCACATTCTGTTGAATAAAACAAGAAAAGCGTCGGCACGTATTGGCGTCGTTCTTTAAAATTTGTATTACTCCAGCCATCTTTGGTGCATATTTCTAAAGTTTGCGTAACTATGTTTCAAGAGCTCTCTCACACTCTCAAGCATTTTGTTTGCCGGTAACTAGGGATCTAGTGCCAGCTTGATCAAGTCGATAAAAAGTGCTGGAATGACCATCTCGAACAGAGAAGAATGGCTAGACCGTGGGCTGAATACTTCGAACAACAACTGTCGTGGCCACCAGCCGGCATTCACCTAGAGCCCACAGGTGAAGTAGAACCCCGGATGGTGAACGTGGAACCACCTACGGCTTCGGAGGTTTGCGACTGCATATGTTCTCTAAAGCGCCACCGAGCTCCTGGCCCGGATGAGCTTCCACCAGCACTCTTCAAAGACGGGGGTGAAGTACTCAGTCAGCGCTTGTCCGATCTGTTTGCTTGCATTTGGGAAAATGAGTCTGTCCCAGACAACTGGGGAGAAACAGTGATAGTGCCCATTTTCAAAAAAGGGGCGTGTAGTGAGTGTGGTAACCACAGGGGGATCAGTTTGACCCCGGTCGTAACGAGGTTGTTGGCTTCAGTTGTGCTTTGTCACCTTCAGATGGCTCGTGAGATACTGATTCGAGAGCAGAAAGCGGGATTCCGGCCTGGTAGGGGTTGTGTTGACCAAGTCTTCACACTGCGTCAGGTCCTGAAATAACGCCATATGTATAAGCGACTCAGGATTCCAGTAGTCCTGGATTTCTGAGGCGCATTCGACTCGGTTGATCGGTCTGTTCTTCTTGAGACGCTTGCCCACTAAGGAATGTCCCGGAAGTTTGTAAGCATAATACGTTCTTTGTATTCCCAGACTTCCTTCCG